ACCCACGAGGTCCCCTTCTCTTGTACAGTTGACCCTTGAACAATATGGTTTGAACTGCTTGGGTCCACTTATACATGGAGTTTCTCCAATAAATATGTACTGTGGTACTACATGATCCGATGTTGGTCGAACCCCTGGATGCAGCACCACGAGTACAGTGGGAGGATTGTCAAGTCGTAGGTGGATTTTCAACTGCTCCAAGGATCTGAGTCCCTAATCCTCACATTGTTCAAGAGTCAACAGGGTTGAATTTAGGGAAAACTCTCCCACCACTCCCTAAGGAAGGTGAGTTTCCTCTAAGGCTCCCCAACTACTGCCAGACCTGGGCTTTAAGCTTTCTCCCACTTGCCCCCCAAAGCTATCAAACTCAATTTAGGAGATACGTAAATATAGGTCAGAGGCAAGTTTGGTGTTCCCTTACGTCTCTTCTATGCATATAAAAATATTTTATGCAGGGTTTTTCGTTAGTTTTTGAAGGAGGAATTCTTCAAATAACCTAGCCTAACATCATTTCTAGAAGCTAAATTTGAAATTTTCCAATTCTCCAATATAACACGCCACCTTGGAATAGAACTGCTTACTTATCAAAATATAATTAAAGTAGTAACAACTGATGAAAATGATTATTTTGACTAAAAACCTTCTTAATCTTGTTCTACAGAATGACAATAGATGTGAAAGAAAAAAGGAGCGTGGTTTGTGGTCAAATAAATTTTGCAGTTGCTGTAATAAACACTTTCTGGACAGGTTTCCTCTGAACTTTAATATGCATACTTATGTAAAGGAGAGGTGTATATGTTGCTGTCCTTTCCGAACCTATTTTAACACAAAATTTCTTTTATACTGTAGCATCTCCAAGGACTAGTGTTCCACAGCATGCACTTCAGAAAAAAAAAGAAATCCTAAAAACTAATAGCTGCAGATTTGGGAAGATATGGTCATATATGTGTATGATAATTTATTTTTCCTAATGTTTATGCACCTAACTTTGCCTATTTTCAGCTTTTATAAAACCACTTTGTATCTTTGCATATTGCAAAATGCTACTTGTTAAAAGGTCAGAAAAAGACAATAACTATTATATCATTGGCTGTAAACTGATTTTTCTGTTTTCAGGTTGGTATTTAAGGACTCTTAAGAAATCTTGAGTAGATATGATTTCAAGATAAACATTGGCACACAGGATCTCTTAATGATTTTCTGATGAGTCCCTATGGATTCTTTGAGGACCCCTATTTTTGTATTCAGTTCTCTCAAAGGTGGTAGTAACATACAAATATTTGCCCTGGCTGCGGGGGCTGGGGGGGGGGGAATTGTGAGGTAATTCTGAGTTTAGAGAAGATAAATGTGAAGGAATACAAAAAATCAATGAGTTTTCGTAAGTTGAATTCTATGTGAACTTTGTGAATCATTTGGATTGAAAATGTGGCCCCCCTTCACTCTAGAATTAGCCCCAAGACATATTACTAGCACTGCTTGACACTTTGTTAAATATTCGCCATAAATTCCTACTTTCATAGACAGCTTTAGTTTTAATTAGTTTGCACTGGTGTAGCGTTCCTTACAGAAGGAACGTCGTTGTGGTTGGGATTATGGATGGATTTCTTGAGTAATGATGAAGGTTACTAACAAAAGACCATGCAAACTCGCATCATCTCCTCCCATACTCCTAATATAGAACAGCAAAGAAGTTTAACTTCCCCATCTTATTTGCAGTTATTTTCTTAAATTGCATTATATTAAAAGAAAAAGCTATAAATTATTCATATATCTCTTACCTAATCCTGGAATACATTTCAAAATGATGATAATCAACAGGCTATAGAAAATGGTACGATATTTATAGCAACATGGTAACCAACTTAATTAAGTAATATCAAAGACAAATTGAAATCTCTATGTTCTTTCTCTTGATTCAGACAATTTTCTTCATGATATGATAACTCAGATGGAATTACGTGGCTTGATTACTTTTTAAAGTGATTATTGAGTTCTCCAGATACTTATTGGTTCCTCAGGATCAGTTATCCACATTTATTAAGTGCTATATCTAATTGGCAAATCTATTCCACTTACACTTTTTAAATCGCTCCATTGTTGGTCAAATTGTGTTTGATGGTACCAGACTCCATTATACAAAGTAATTTAGTTATAAATACGATTTTAGGTTTCCCTAATGTTGTTGCTCTGATTATACATGACAACTTGGATAGACTAGAGCCATTGTAAAGACTGGAGCTGCCATATCATTTTCCATATTATGGAATCAGTCTATATTCTTTATAAATTTGGATCCCAGCAGCAGGTTTAAACTTGATTTGCTGCGTCGTCGTTTATACTATAGGCAAACTCAAGTGAGTAGCAGTACAATAATATCCATAGTTCAATAGATGAAGACAACCCGTAAAATCCACATTGTTTGATGATAGAATCTAAGAATTAAAAGAGACATTGATGATCTAGTACAGCTTCTAACTAAGGCAGAAATATCCTCTGCTATGTACCAGATAGGGGATAGTTATTTTTTTATTTATACAAGTTCAACAATTAAAAAAAAGAAAATCACTTGCTAACAGGGAATCCCAAAGCATCAGAGAAGTATCACATCCTTGTGGTTAAGCCTATAGCCTATAGAGCCAGATGGTGTGTTCAAATACCATTTCTACTATCTCCTTACTGGGAAGCTAAGTACATTTCATCACATCCCTGTACTTCAGATCTGTGATGTGGAAAATAGATTTCTATAAAGATTACATTCATTGAGACATACAAAGACACAGAGTTAATAATGTATAAACATACCTAGAAGAACTATTGGCATGAAAACAATAATATTTTTTAGAAAATTATTTCACATATTAAACTAAACCTGTCTCCCAGTACCTTCCACTCATCAGTTCTAGCTCTGACTCTAAAAGTGCACAATGGGAAACATTCCCTCTTCTACATTTCCAGTCTTGGTCTTCCAGACTTCTTTTCTTCAGGCAGAGTTACCAAGTCTCTAATATACATGAATACTGTCTTCAAGCCAGTGGAGGCCTAGGCTAAGATGCATGTGTTTCTTGATTTCTTTGCTGATTCACGGCACTCTACAATGATTTTTAAATTTTTTTTTTTTTCGGTACACGGGCCTCTCACTGTTGTGGCCTCTCCCGTTGCGGAGCACAGGCTCCGGACGCGCAGGCTCAGCAGCCATGGCTCACGGGCCCAGCCGCTCCGTGGCATGTGGGATCTTCCCGGACTGGGGCACGAACCCGTGTCCCCTGCATCGGCAGGTGGACTCTCAACCACTGCGCCACCAGGGAAGCCCTAATTTTGTTTTCTGAAATTGAGATGTAATTGACATATAACACTATATTAGTTTCAGGTATAAAACATAATGATTTGATATTTGTATGTATTGCAAAATGATCACCGCAAAAGGTATAGTTAACAGCCATCACCATACATAGTTACAATGTTTTTTTCTTGGGATGAGCACTTTTAAGATCTACTCTCTCAGCAATGTTTTTTTGTAATTAATTCTTTTTTATTGGAGTGTAGTTGATTTACAATGTTGTGTTTCTGCTGTACAGCAAAGTGAGTCAGTTAATATATATGCACTCTTTTTTCAGATTCTATTCCCATATAGGTCATTACAGAGTATTGAATAGAGTTCCCTGTGCTATATAGTAGGTTCTTATTCTCAGCAACTTTTAAATACATAATACAGTATTATTAACTATAGTCACCATGCTGTATGTTACATCCTCATGCCTTTTATTTTATAAATTGGAGTTTTTACCTTTTGACCTCCCTCACCCACTTTGCCCACCCCTTACTGCTGCCGCCTGCTTCGGGCAACCACAGAATCTGTTCTTTATGTCTGTAAGCTCACTTTGTTTTTGTTTAGATTCTACGTGCATGTGAGATCGTACAGTGTTTTTCTCTGTCTGACTTATTTCACTTACCACGGTGCCCTTAAGGTCCACTCATTTGTCGCAAATAGCAAGATTTCCTTCTTTTTTATAATGCTGGATAATACTCATATATATATTATGTGTTCTTTATCTATTCATCCACTGACGAACGCTTAGGATGCCACCATGTCTTTACCTTTGTAAAGAATGCAGCAATGAAATGGGGGCACAGTGACTGCTTTTAAAGAACCTCAGCATGCCTCATATCCCTTCACAAACTTCACATTCATTTTAGCAAAAACGTGACCACTAAATTTAGAACGAGGAAAGTATGTCACATGCCAAATAGAGGCACGCACAATGTGTGCTTTGTTGCTGTGGCTGCTGGGACTAGAGACAGAGCACATCCTTCTGGAGCACCACTTCCCTCTGTGGGGCGTCCTAAGGCTGTGGAAGAGCAACTGGATCAAAATACACAGTAAATATTTAGTCATCATTTCGCGTTCAGAAGACAGGATCTTTTCCATTTCCTCATGTACTTTTTTTTTTTTTTTTTTTTTTTCGGTATGCGGGCCTCTCACTGTTGTGGCCTCTCCCGTTGCGGAGCACAGGCTCCGGACGTGCAGGCTTAGCGGCTATGGCTCACGGGCCCAGCCGCTCCGCGGCATGTGGGATCTTCCCGGACCAGTGCACGAACCCGTGTCCCCTGCAGCAGCAGGTGGACTCTCAACCACTGCGCCACCAGGGAAACCCTTCTCCATGTTTTTCTTTGCCTTTAGAAGTCTTTTTCCAAAATTCATCTCTAGTTTCCTTAGTAACTCAGTCTTTACAGAAACTCTTGTGATGTTTGATACTGGATATTACTCGCCATCTAATTCATGGGGCTTCCTCATCCTACAACTATTAGATTTCTGATTTCAAAGGGCAAGTGGCTAGCAATATGCATGATGGCCTCTTCAGTTCTCATTAAAATATGATTGTAAATGTATGAAGCAAAAAATATGGAAACAGCAAAAGATGAAAACTCACAATAAAGAAACGAAAATTGGAAAATAACCTAATGTCAAAATCAAAGAAAAATTGTAATTATTTATATTGCAGATGGAGCCAGCTGGGAAGATGCTCCGTATTCCATTCTTCTATTCCAAGACCTGGACGATTAAGGAAATAAGCAGTTTTTCTATGATGTCAGGTATGATGTTTACCTTATTTGAGTGGTGGAATTGTGAGTGATTTTGACATATTTGCCAATATTTATTTCTTACTTTCTAATTTTTAAAACCTAAATAGCTTTAAGAAGAGAGCATCTATCTATCAGCAAAGATAATCTCAAATGTGAAGTGGTTGTTTTGGGGATTGGAAGTTTGGGTGATGATTTTGTCCTTTTATTTTATTATATTTCCAAATATTTTTTTACTATATTTATATGTTATATATAATTATAGAATAGAATATAGTTTTTAAAAGACAGTACAATAGAGGACTCTGAGAACATTGGTTTTATTGCCTCTTATTTCAAGTCAGATTTGCAACAAAATATTTTCTTTCCTACTTGATATTTTTTATCACCAAAGTGAGAAAGATTATCTTTTTTATGAGAAAGACTTGTTTATATGTATATATAAGAAATTCAAATGGTTGTCTGGATTCTTACCCAAAATGGAGGGTGTGTTTGAGTGGTCTGCCTTAAAATATAGTCTAGGTAGCACTCAGAACTTACAATGGTTATTCCAGAGCTAGATTGTGGAGAAGCTAAAACTGAGGATGACTTTTTAATAATAATCACTTTAACAATGTGGAGAGAATTATTGAGATAATCTGTGTCATTAATATAATATTTTTGGATGCATAAGGGGCTGTGGCATATCTTAAAAGATATAGGAGTCATCCTCAGAAGCAACTAAAACTGAGGTATGATAAGAGACTCTTGTAACTGCTTTAGACTTTATTGTTTTATTATTGTTATTATGATTAAGGCATAATTTACATACATTGAATGTACAAATTTTAAGTGTACAGTTCTATCACTTTTAACAGATCCATATAACCTGTATAATCTGCATCTATATGAAGGTATAGAACATTTCTATCACTACAGAAAGTTCTGTTAGGCTTCTTACGAGACCATTTGGTTTCTTTCCGGTTTAGGGCTTTTGTGAATAAGGATACTATGAATGTTCTTGTCCATTATAGTAGATACACTCATTTCTGTTGGGCATATGTACAGGAGCGAGGTTACTAGGTTATGGGGTATGTGTATGTTGAGATTTAGTAAGTACCTTAAAACATTTTTCTATGTGACCGGGCCAATTTACACTCATCCCGCTAAGTAAGAAATTCACAGTTGCTCCATATACTTAGTAACACTTAGTATTGTTCATATTTTAATTTTACTCATCCTGGTATGTAATGACAACTCTTTTTGGTTTTAATTTGCATTTTTCTGGTGAGTAACGGTGTGAGCCTTTTTTCATATGTTTATTGGGTGTTTTGATGTCTTCTAATATGAAGAGCCTGCCTATCACAGTGTATCGTAAATGTCTATTTGCTTGTCTATAATTATGTCCTCACAACTGGTCTGTGAGTTCCCTAAAGGTAAGGAATGTTTCTAATAGACCTTTCTTTTCCTGATACTTAGCACACTGCACTAGCCCATTGAAGATTCTAAAAAATATTAGTTTGACCAAAAAAGGGATCATTATTAAATAGCTCCTCGTATGTGTCAAGTGCTCTTTGTGTACTACCTCAGTTAATCCCCACAGCAAATCCACTTACCGATGAGGAACTTGAAGCTCAGAGAGCTTTAAATATTTGCAGTGGCCATAGAGCTGGTGAGTGGCCTGCATTGCTATAGACTAAAACCAAGACTTTCTCATTTGAAAAGTGTTTCCATTGTTCCTTCTAATCCACTACAATGGCTTCAAATTAGAAAGCAGTCTTTCATTGTATTCATTTTGCACCCATGTTTACTGCTCATGATGGCAGAGGATGGTGTGCTAATATCCAAGTTTCTCTTCTTTTCTCTGGGCACACAGCTAAATTACCTTTCCCAGGCCCCTTGAAGTTGGGTAGGGTCTGTGACCAAGTTACAGCAATAGAATGTGATCTAATATTGTGTATACCACTTCCAGGTTTCACCTATAAAAATCTCCCACACGCAATCGTCCACTTGCTGCCTACATCTTGAAGATGGTGGCAACATGAGCTATAAGGAGGCTGGGTCCCTGAGTGACTGTGTGGAACAGAAACTCCTCCCCTCCCCCCACCACACTGGTCTGTCATGAGTGAACTTGAAGCTGTCATCATGATAGACCACAGAGATGTCAAAGTTTGTTATAGAAGCCCAGTCACCTAAGTCTCTCTCTAGATATTGGTGATGTGGAGATGATGGACTTTGAGAACTTCAGTTTGGTAAATAAAGAATTCTAACACATGGCAAATGTTGTAATAAAGGTACAAACTAAGTTCTATGGCAAATGATGGAGACAGATCAGTTCTGCCTTGTAAACTTAAAGAATATCTCACTGAGGGAATAATTTTTTTTACCTTGTCCTTGGAAGATCAGATCTAAGTGATGGGCATTTCAGGTTGTAGAAACAGCATGAGGAAATGTGTGGAAAGCTAAAAAGCATGGTGTACCGCTTTTGCCTGGAGATTTGTGAAGTTCAGTGTGGCTAGATTACAACTCATATGAGGAGAATGGTAAGAGAGAAATTTAAAAAAAAGAAAAAAAGTTTGGTGGCCGCAATTGAAGCATCTACTCTACCATGAAAAGGAATTAGAACTTGGTGTTATGATCGATGGGGAGCCATTTTTTATGAATTGAAGGGAAAGAAACTGGACCAGGAAAATCATTTAAAGGCATTGCAATTATCCAGATGAAAAATAATGAGGATCAGAACTAAAACATTGTCAGTGGGTATTAAGAGGAGGTAGATTTTTAAAATTAATGTGGCTGTGGAGACAAAACGAATGACATTTAGGCTGTTTCTTTTGTTGAATGTCACCCACTATTAGAAAAGTATTACATAAATCAAGTCCACATGAATCTTTGGTATTTTCAGGTCTTCTTCTAGAGTCTCTGTTTCTTGTTAAAATGTCAATTGTTGATTTCTTTCTCTAACTTCTGGCAGCCTTGTTCTACTTAAAATGTGCTCAACAATAATATTCTGTCAATGAAAAAAACCAAGTTAAGATTTCTGTCATTGTTCCTTGCATGCTGTTCCCCAACATTTCAGTTTGTTTTCTGTTTTAGATGGAAGATAAACACTTTAACTCCACAAATAGTTATTGAGCTCCTATTATGTTCTCAGCATAGCAGTAGTCAATAATGATAAAGAGAGTATAATCCTCAATTTTCAGCCTTTATGAAATTCCTGGTCTAGAGTCAGTAGGGAAAAGGAAATCAAGAAGGATAACGACTCCAAATGGCAACAGTACAGTCTAAAGCTGCTACCAAAATGAAGTATTATGAGGGTTCAAATTGCTAAGAAAGACCTACTGGAGAACGGACTTGAGGATATGGGGAGGGGGAAGGGTGAGCTTTGACAGGGCGAGAGAGTCGTGGACATACACACACTAACAAACGTAGTAAGGTAGATAGCTAGTGGGAAGCAGCCGCATGGCACAGGGATATTGGCTCAGTGCTTTGTGACAGCCTGGAGGGGTGGGATAGGGACAGTGGGAGGGAGGGAGACGCAAGAGGGAGGACATATGGGAACATATGTAT